GGCCTGGGGTGTTTACCGAGCTCAGTTGTAGGTAGCAGGCGGCCAACTGTGTCATGGCTCCGTTCCCTTACTTACTACTGGTCTTCCTGATCGGCCTTAATACGTACACGGAATGTAAGTATATTACTTTCACACACTTTTAACCATCAATTCTGTTATGTGATATTTTGATATTAATTAATGAACTGTATTTGTTTAGTAATCAACAAAGACAATTACCCTTCCTGTTAGGCGATCGTCATGCTTTCCTAGCTTAGACAGGCATTAATACGTTACATGTGCATATTTGTATCAATTCGTGACAACTGGTTTCACCTCCACATTTTGCTATTTAATTTTTGCAACCAGTTCTTGCTTTTGTTTAAGCGTAATGATTTTAAGATGATTTCGTTGTGATTATGTTTAGGTGCATGCTAATATATTTTAACGTTAACAAAGTAAGTCATGTGTATATAGATGCTGAAAAAATCAGCCTTCCTTAAAACTCTACGCAATCAGGTTGCATGTATCGAAAACCGAATTGTATTATTTCTAGAACAAGATATTTGTTCTTCATAAACAACTGACCCTTAAGACAAATTCGGATTAAAAAGGAATCTCCGATCAAATTTTCCATTAGCCCCTCTTTTGCTTATTTGTTTTTTACTTATAGTTCGGATCGCGAATTTGGTTACAATGTTTACTTTGTTTATTGTTAAATTTCCATGCTTCCAGTAGTGTCGCACATTCGGTTTCTGAACAATAACAGATAGCCCTATATATCATTGTAGATCAGAACAGGATCACTCACATGTTTAGATTTTTTGTTAATGAATTGCCTACCTTTCACCACTCAAGATGATATTAAGTTCGGTGTTCAGTGTGGCATCCCAGTACAAACTACAAGTAGGACAGACAGGAAGGACAGAAAAAAACAAGTGTTTCAATGGGCAGCAGATCAATTACGGTCCCTTTAATACCCCGAAGGTGAAAGACATAACAAAGACCGATTATACAGGTGGCCCCACTTAAATCATGCTAGTGTCACTGCTAAGGAATATGAGAGAAAGTTAATGCTTTACTGGCAAGCTAGTGTGAATATTTAATTCCTTTGTTCTGTCTCGCGACGATTAAATTCAGCACTAGTACGTAATGGGATGCGCACCCTTTCAAATAAGGGAATGATATTTATGATAACAAACATTTAAGGGACGCAGTTTATATCCGTTCCATTGCTTAGCTAACTAGGTCACGTTGTGTAATTGAAGACTCTGCACTAAACGGCCACCTTCCTAGTGAATACAGCAAAAGGAGCAAGGTAATATAAACCACTCCTTATCGTTACTATGTATTTGAAAGATTAGATAACAGCATGTACCGATATAAATTTAGTTTTTCTGGTTTTCGCGCTAGTATGGGAGCAACTGAATGATTCCAGATGTCATATTGCCAACATTTGTTATACTAGCATGAAAAAGATCCATACTGTCTAGATTATTAGATGTGCGATAAATGCAAAGGACGTGTTATTGATTTTGTTATGAAGACGTACAAAACAGCAGGCCAAAGAATAAAGGAAAGATAGAGTTGTTGTTTTAGGAAAATATATACATTTTTCTTTCTTCAATGTTCTATAAGAAGACAATGAAGGAAACACCAGATATGCAGAGAGCCCCATATCATATTCAGTGGGATACAACAAAAACATTTTTTCTTGAGCTCACCGGGGTAGAGCAATTACAGATCTTGTTAATATATTGACAGGTTCAACAACGCCTTCCTTCACAAACGACTCTGTCACTACGACTTCGCCCTTTGTTGTTCGTCTTGTAAACGGCGCAACCAACATTTCCGGTCGTGTGGAGGTCTTCCATGATGGACAGTGGGGGACCGTTTGCGATGATAGTTGGGATAACTATGACGCTGTAGTTGTATGCAGAATGATTGGATACAGGTGAGTCCTTGATACATATGTGTTTATTAAGGTGAGTACCTGATACAACTTGGTATTTTGTTCTGATGTTTTATATGACACATGGTGTTTTATACAGAAGAATATCTAATACAGATGAGTACATGATATATTTGAGTATATGCTACATATGAGTATTTGATGAAGGCCGGTCGGTGATAGAAGTTTATATCAAATCAATACATATCCAAACGCCATCTGGACGGTATGAATCACAGATCTGATATGATTGATTCAATTTCAACTTGTTACTATAATTTAAAACAAACCAAATAGAAAAGAAAAGTATTTTCCGAATTCAAAACCGATTAAACTTCGGTAAATTATGAACAATGGAAATATTTGATTGAAAACCCGTTAAATAGTTCAAGGAGAATTTAATTTAAGCGTACATGGTTGTGGTCCGTGGAAAGAGAACATCCACCCGATGGTAACAGTTATTTGTGACAGTTCTTGCTACGATTAACATTTTTTATGTTTGTGTTTTTATACAAATTAAGCTATTTCAACTGCAGATGTTGCATGCAAACAGCTTTATTCTTTACAGCAACGCTACCCGTGTCGGTTCTGCGTACTTTGGAGCTGGTTCTGGGCCGATCTGGATGGATAATGTCGGATGTGACGGCTCGGAGCAAAGTCTTGATGAGTGTTGGTTTAATGGTTGGGGAATTGAGAACTGTGCTCATAGTCAAGATGCAGGCGTGATATGTTTTGCAGAGGATCAAGGTGACTTTTATCAAGCAATTTTAGTTTCTTTTGCACATTAAGGGCCCCACTTCGAGTTGCGTGTGCCCTATGGTGATCAGCTTGTCCGTCCGTCTGTCGTTCTGTCTGTTCGTCTGTCCGTGTTTGCTTTCCTCACCGTAACTTGCGTATTCATGGTTGGGTGTGTGGCGTTATATCCATGAGAACTGGTATGAGTTCGAAATAAAGTGAAATCCGTCAACATTTGGAAGAGGTACGGTACCTTGTACTAAAAAATGCGATTTTATGATTTTGCCAGTTTTGACCTGTGGCCGTATATCAAACATAATACGGATGGGTTCGATATGGATTATGAAAAGTTATCGTAACACAACCAATATTTGTTTCTATGTGACGTTTCGATGACTAGAACGATATTTACACTGTCACCTTCATCCGACAAATGACCAGTGAAGCGTATGTGAGCAAAGGTTTAAACTGTGTACGAGTTATCCACAAAGTCGATGTAGATTCTTCTTCGCTGTAAGCGTATGTACAATAATTGTTAAATATGTACCGACACGACTCGATTCAGCTACGCTGTGTTTGATACTTGGTCATAGATGTGCGAGAGTCTATCATCTCGACTTAGAACTGACTCACTACAGCGTATCCAGATGGCTTCCTTTATCTGCTTCTTAAACACAGATTGCTCTCTCTGTCCAGTACTTTGGAGTGCTTACAGTGTAGCCGATTCGACATTGATGTTTTGGACAACTCGTACACATTTGACACCTTTGTGTGCATACGCTTCA